TACATTGCCTTAACCAAATAATTCTTAAAAATCTATGTAATTGCTTTATGATCTCTACCAGTGAATTTTTTCCCCTACATTCCAAGAATCATTACAGCTCCTAAATACAAAGAGTTTGACAAAAGGAATGGCCAACCTAATAAATGAATAAGTAAATAAGCAAATACACACATACATCATTCGAAATTCCAGAACGGAGAATGACAGCAGAATAGGCTCCACTACTGCCAAGCCTGGATTCCCTCTTTTCTGCCTCTAACCACTGTCTCTTCCAAATGCCATGTGAAAAGGCATGATAGATCTCAACGCCAGCTAGCTTGCCACACTTAATTAACACGGAAATAAATAAATAAATAAAATGTCATTTTAACAGTAATTCTGCAATGTCTGAGTGTCTCACAGCAGCTCTCATTTGGAAGAAGTACAAAATGCATCTGGAAAGGGACGGTGAGGATGAGGAGGCAGGGTATATCAATTACTGGCAGTGGTCCATGCTGCTTCTGCTCGTCCCACTGATGTCCATTCCCCAAACCACATGTTGGGTGCAGCACTTTCCCTGAGCTTGTATGGAACTGAAGGCAGTGCAGCTCGGCATCCAGACACGTGGTTTAAATGTTGGGTGGTCCTGTATGGAGCCAGGAGCTGAGCTCCATGATTCCTGTGGGTCTCTCCCAACAGTCTGTGAATCAGCCTCCTACTTGTGATGGTGAAATGAGCAGCGGCTGCTCCAGGCACTGTGCACGGGTGTGCAGTGCTTCTACTGAAGAAGCCCACCTCCTAGCACCGGGAAGGAAGGGGGAGTCAAAAAAGGCCACACTGCAGCACAGGTACTCCAGCCATCCTTAACACAGCCAGAACAACCTTTGAAGGCCACGGTGCTGAGACCTGGACAGCGTGGAGCCTGAAGCAGGCGGGTCCACGCACACCACTCAGCCAAATCCAGATGGGAAAAGGGAGGCATGACAACTATTTACAAACAACTGAAGAGCATTCATACCAGAGGCAGTGCTGAAACGGTATTCAGGGTAACACAGCACACAGCATGTGCCAGCCCCGGAGAGCACTGTTCCCTCTGAGCTTGCCTTTCTGCTACCCAAGCTATCCACTTGCTCAGTTCCAGCAGATGTGCTCTTTTTAGAACAGCATGAAAGCAGCTACCCTACATGAAGTTTCAGGAGGACGGCTGAGAGCTGTGGGATGAAAACACGGACCAAGAAAGAAAGAACAGCAGGAAAAGTTTCCGGACAGTTTGTGTTCAGCTGTGGGAATCACTTCCCAAAGGAAGTGGCAGAACATTAACCACTTGAGTCACTTAAAGCTCAGCAAGACCAACACTGGAATTCTGTACTCACATCAGAACATCATGAATACTCTAGAGAAAAACTTCTGTCCCTCCAAATTCATCCTTCAAATGACTGGGAACACTATGCAGGGTCAGACAAATACATGTGCAGGTCTCCCTGGCTGCACTTAGAAGGAACACCAGGTTTGTAACTCTGAGTTTCACTGCTGAAATGAGTTTATTTATCCCCTGGGTGGCACAGCACTCCCAGACCAGCTTTGACTAAGGCATACTCTCACCCTATCAGCCTGCTGGGTGCGCGCCTTCCACCACATGAAACACTTTTGGAAAGGACAATGGCTGAAGGTGGTGCTCTCCTGGTGAACACGCCTTGTCTTGCCTGCGTGTTGCCAACAGCTCATTGCTTTTGCAACCCTGAAAAATAGAGCTCTAGGCAGGCTTGCAAAATGCTACTTAATCATCTGCCAGAGGCAAAGAATACTTTTTAGCGACAGGACAATGAATCATCAGTTTCATCACTGCGATGGATGCACACAATGAAGGTCTTCACAATGGTGAGTCTTGTTTGACTTCATCTAAGTCCTTCTAGAAGCAAAACAGCTCTTTTAAATAAATTGCCACCAAGTCATCTCATTTCACAGTAGGAAACCAACAACCAACCTTCCCCCCCACCTACCTCACCTACCAGGTGGTTAATGTGCCAGGAGCACAGATGACTCCAAACTGCTCTCACATATGTAAAGCCCAACTCCATGTCTGCACTTAAGCACGTGCAGTTAAGCCAGCATGGTTCCACTGACGTGAACGGAGATGATTCCTCCTCCCAAGGTTTGTGTGCTGCCAACAACAGAACTGTAGCACCAGAAGCAAATCAAACAGAAAATCCACATTTTCACCCACCAGGTATGCGCACGTGTGCTGGCATGAATGGGTTGGATAATATCACGGACAAACCCAGAAGTGAAGAAATGTTTGATCTTTTTCATAAAGAAAAGCAGTCACAAGTTGAGCTGATGAGTCCGACAGGCGGTCAGACAAAGTTCTACTAGATAAAGACATCTGACATTGAGTCTGAACACAACCTAACCAGTGAGTTGGGGAGTAACTTCCCATCCGATCATCTGCACATCAGGGGGCCGCACCAGACAGAACGCGGTGCTCCGGTTGTTTTAGGCCACTTCAGAAATCACCACGTGAACCAGACGGTGCACAGAGGCCTCACGTTCCCACTTCAACCCGAGGTAAGCTTCTAAAGGGCTGCCCATGCTCACAGCCAACTAACAGCAAAACAGGCACAAAGTTGAGCGTATCTATCACAGAATCACAGAATCACAGAATCACCCGGGTTGGAAGGGACCTCAAGGATCATGTAGTTCCAACCCCCCTGCCTAGCAGGGCTACCAAACACACACATTCAGATCAGGTTGCCCAGGACCCCGTCCAACCAGGCCTTAAACACATCCAAGGACGGGGCATCCACAACCTCCCTGGGCAGCCCGTTCCAGGGCCTAACCACTCTCCTTGTATAGAACTTCCCCCTAACATCCAACCTAAATCTTCCCTCCTTCAACTTGGATCCATTTCCCCTAGTCCTGCTGTTGTCAGCCCTTTTGAAGAGTTTACTCCCCTCCTGGGTGTATCTAGAAGTGGAAACGCTGCATTACGATCACACAGCCCTTCTAACATCTGCCAGTTTCGATAGCCCCGTGCAGGTCAAAAACCTAAAGACAGACATCCACTTTCCTACACCGACTCACTCTTCCTGACCCTATTCCCGTAACTCCTTGCCCCGACGCCGTCACAGGGCCCCACTGTCGCCCCGGCAGCCCGGCACCCGAAGTGGCGTTAAACTTCCCCCGCCGGGCTCCGGGCGGACAAAGGGCCGCTCCGACCCGGGAGGCCCGACCCGCCGTCCCGCCGCCACAGGAAGCCGCGGGCCGGGCGCGCCACCTTCCAGCCCGACCGCAGCGCCGGCTGCCGAGCGCAAGGCAGGCCGACCCGCAGCGGGACGAGGCTGGCGGCACCGCGAGGCACCGCGAGGACCGCGCTCTTCTCCCGCCCCGGCGCCAAGGCGGGCAGCGCTCAGCCCGCTCCCCACTCCAACCCCCGCCCCGTCCTCCCGCTACCTCGGCCATGGCCGCGGCGCCGCTCCTGCCAGGGGGCGCGCTCCGGCCCGCCCGGCTCCGGCTCTACCCCGGGAGCTGAGCTGGGCGCGGCGTGGCCTCGCTCCGCGTCCTTCCGCCCGTCTGCGGACCGCCCGCTACCTCCGCGCCACTCAGGGGTGGGGGCGGGGGGAGCCCGGCGCGCGCGGCGGTGGAAAAAGGAGGGGAGGGGAAGGTCCGCGTTCAGCCGCTTTTTTGCCCGCCCCGGAAATACATTCCTCCCCGCTGCCGTCAAGCCCTGGGCGGGGAGGAGCGCTCCGGGCTGCGGCTGGGGGTAGGGAGCGAGGGAAGGGCGCTCCAGGGGCAGCGGGGACCCGGCCTGGCCGCCTGTGGTGGCGGCGGCTCCGCCGCCCGGAGCGCTGCTCCCGTAGTGCCGCACCGCCCCGTGCGCGTCCGCGGGACGGGAAAAGCTCCGCCTGGCACAGCGCTACGAGGAGCGCCCGTGTCCCCGTTGCCCCCCGCCACCGCTCGTGGCAGCCGCCATTGCCTTATTTGGTGGGGTCCGATTAGCGCTCCTGCTCCCGCGCCGCTGGAGCTTCTGCCGTCGGGGCGGCGGCTCTCCCAGCCCCGCAATCTCCGGGCTGGAGGTCCGCTTGTCCCCACGCTTCGCCCGTGTGCAGCGTCCCAAGTGGGTGGGAGGCACCGGCGAGGAGTCGGCGTCACTTCGCGTGCCACGGGAAAAGTACAACTGCCGCGTCCCGTGGCTCCAGCTTGCTGGTACTCAGCACGTGCTCACGTGTTACTTAGGTTCTTGAAGGACTCCTGTTTTTAGGGGCAAAATGTCAAAGAGATGTAAGCCACGTGATCACAGCTCACAGTCAATTGCTGTGCCTCTATAACTAACCTGCTACTGCTGCTGCTCATTTTGGGTATCGTAGAATATCCCAAGTTGGAAGGGACAGGTCTTCTGGAGCACAGGTCTTATGGGGAGCCGCTGAGGGAGCTGGGATTGTTCAGCCTGGAGAAGAGGAGGCTCAGGGGAGACCTCATTGCACTCTACAACTTCCTGAAGGGAGGTTGTGGTGAGGTGGGGTCGGCCCCTTCTCCCACATAACCAGAAATAGGACAAGAAGGAAGGGCCTCAATTTGCATCAGTGGAGATTCAGCTTGAATGTTAGGAAATAATTCCTCTTTGAGGGACTGGTCAGGGTCAGGTGCTAGAATGTGCTGCCCAGGGAAGTGGTGAAGTCACTGTCCCTGGAGGTATTCAAGAACATTTAGACATTGTTTAGTGGGAAATATTGGTGATAGGTGGATGGTTGGACTGGATGATCTTAGAGGTCTTTTCCAACCTTGATGATTCTATGATTCTATGATTCTATGACCCACAAAGATCATTGAGTAGAGCTCCAGGCTCCGGACAGGACCACCCCAAATCCAAACCTTATCTCAGAGCATTGTCCGAGAGCAGTGTCCAGACGCTCCTCGAACTCCAGCACTCGGGGCCGTGCCCACAGCCCTGTGCAGCCTCTTCCATGCCCACCGCCCTCTGGTGCATTCCCTGACCCCCAGCTGCCCCTCCCCTCACACAGCTCCATGCCGTTCCCTCGGGCCCTGTCGCCGTCACGCAGAGCGGAGCTCAGCGCTGCCCTTCTGCTCCCTGTGAAGAACTGTGGGCTGCCATGATGTCTCCAACTAAAGGTACTACAAATTGATAATCATTTTTTTTCCCTCTTTTCCTGTACTAGCAGCACTTAAAAAAGAAACACAGTACTTCTGCCATATGTAGGCACAGCCTGTTCTTTAGTGGTTGTTCTTATAGGCAGTACAGCTGCCCAGGATGTAGTCTCTTACCATAACTGCCAGGTCTTAATGCTGGTACAGCTGTAATTTTAAAACTGTTTAAATAGTCTTAGAAAATGAAATGGAAATGGTAGGCCGCTTTCAAAGCAGCTTGATCAAAAGCGAACACTGGTCAAATGAAGTGGAAAATAAATAACATGCACGATCAGTGATAAAGAGCCCAGAAGCCATATGTTGCAGCAGTTGTGTTACATTATTAATACTGCCAGGAGCAGAGAAACAAGCTGCCATAAAATCAAACCTTAAAAATGGTATGTTTCACGAAATAAAAGTAAATGCAGGATGGATAGTGATCTGCCAAAAATATAATAAATTTGAATACCATTGGGGAGAAATTACTTTTAGGTAAGGCATACCTCCTTCTTGAAGGGAACTAAAGGCCATTTTGCCAGAATATACAAATAGCAAGTACATGTGCACTGTGACGTATTGCAGCCAAGCAGTGGCAAACGTCCTCCATTCTCACTGCCATGGCTTGCCAAGTCTGCAAGGAGTAAATAGAGCTGTGCAGTGAGCTGCTTCTAGCCTGCCACAGCTCTCGGCTCAGACATCTGTGCAACAGGTTGCCAGTGGCTGGCTGCACTGTGCAATAGGAAACTGTCAGGAGAAACCTCCCAAATGGCTGAAAAGAATTATTTGGCTGCTTTCTGGACTGTGTTTAGAGAGTGCAGGTGTGCACGAACACCATTTGCTATTTTCCAGCACTTCTGAAGTACTGAGGATGTCAGAAAAAGTTCTGGAGGCATCTGAGCCAACAGACACGACCACAGATGATGTCAAAATATTTAATGTGGCATCACCATATTGTGGTATATGCAACATCTGTGCGAGTGAGTGAACATATCTGTGTGGAGGGGATGAAGCAAAGAAAGATTTTAAAGGCTCAATAGAGCAGTCAGAGGTATGTGGGTCTCTGTTAGGCTTGGGGACCACTGCTGTGTGATGCTGGGGAACCGAGTATGACATGATGTGTATTCCCTTAGTGTGTGCACCAATCGGTTTGATATCGCTGGATTTGTTGTTGTGTTAGCTATATTTTTGTCTGTAATTTTGAGACACTGTGGTTCTTTGTTACAAGATTTGGATGTAAGTTGTTGATTCTTCTCCGTGTACTTGCACACGTCAAACCAATACAGTAATTGGAAAATACCAAAATTGTATTACTTCAGTTAGCTTAAATTAATTTGATATAATTGACTTAATTATATTAAAATAATATTCATTTTTTCCTCATTTCTTCATGTTGGGTTGTCCTTAGGAAACAATAAGCACTGTCATTTGGTAATAATGCCTTTCATTTTATGGGTAATGTATGTTCATTTTCTGTGAGCAATGCAAGAAGTAAATGTCTGTGCTGTAGAACAGACAGTCCCGGGAGAGTCAGCCAAGTGATATCCCCAGAGATTGCAACAGAAACAACAGAATAGTTTGTTAAATACTGTTTGCTTGTATGAATATCCACATATCATATTCTTGAAAAAATCATACCTAAATAATCAGAAAAATATTTTAACATTTTAGTTATTGCTTTCAAGTTATTTACAGTTTATTAAGAAAATTATATTACTTGGTCAATACAGCTGATTTAATTACATAGAGTTATCTTTTATACCTACTGGAGTTTGGCTATAAAAGTCCATTATGGACTATGCTTTAATTCTGTCTAGCTGTCTTTTAATCAGAGCCATTGGCAAAAGAGAGCCTCCTGTCACAGAAAAGCGGTAGTGGTTGGCGGAGCACTGCTGTTGTGCAGGTGGTAGTTGGAGATTCTCTGGCCAGTTGTCACTGCCTCATTTTATACGTATGCAAAAATGTTTTCATTATTATAATATTATCAACATGATCAGGCTGTCTTGTGGAGTATTCCATCTGTATCCACAGCTTGCCTTGCAGATAACATGTTTTGTTATGACTTTTACAGAAATAGCTAGGAATCCCAAGCTAGATTTCTTCCAGCACTGCATGTGTAAGGCTGCATGAATGGGGGATGTGGAGCTGCTGCTGGGGCTGTGAGTGAACATCCCCTGCCAACTGCACGCCCCTAAGCTTGGGGATGTTCTGCACACCGGCCCCCAGATGCCAACCCACTGGCCAGCAGGCTGGAGCATCACTGCTTCCCAACTCCATCCTATTAATTATCTCATCTCTTCCTAACACAAATCCTTTCCCTGTTGCTTGTTCACACTACACTGGAAATCTCAGTCTCATTGAGTGTTCGTTGATCAGTACTGCTTCTCTTCCCAACACACTTTGTTACTGGTAACGAGTACTTTCTTTCTCCTTCTGTCCCTCTTTTTCTGTTTTCTTTCCCTCTTCAAAATGCTCCAACCCTACCTAGAACAGCTGTTTTTCTTTCCAAACTAAAAATAAAACAAACCAACAACCACACCATAAACCCAAGGTGAAAAATAAGAATCTAAATGCAAAAGGCAGATAGAAGATTGGAGTGAAAACAGAACACCAAGGCAATTTTTCCAGGGATAGTAAAGGAGCTGGAAACAGCAGGCAGCCTTTTTGACCTCCACCAGGCTGTTGCACCTGCACCCATTCTGAGAGCCCCAGGCTTCTCTGCCCTGTACCCATTGCCACAGCCATCACTGTGACCCTGTAGCTGCAACCGTGGTGGTCACTGCGGCCCTGTACCTGCGGCCCTGGCTGTTACTGAGGCCTTGCAGCCCTGTCTGCATGGCAGTGAGTTGCGCAGTGAGCGAGGGGCCCTGCTGTGACTGCTCAGCAAAGGGCTGGGCCTCCCGCAATCGGAATGGAGGGGAGTTTAGATGTGGCAACGGGATTAATTGTGCACGTGTCACTAGGAGATAGACTCACTGAGTGCAGGAAGCGGTGGTGCTAAGCGGTTGTGGTAATTGCTCTGATAACGGCCTCTGCCTCCTCACCAACAGCCAGGAGCACTGCTGGGGATGCAGGTGGAGTGCTGCCCTGGCAGCCGCTCACAATGTGCCCATTATACGGAGCAGTACATTTGTATTGGAGCCAGGTCCTCCTGTACAAGGGCTGTAGTGGCATGAGTCACGTATACATGAAGCACAATATTGCAGAAGGTTGTAGTCTAGCAGCAAAGGTTTTCTCCCCTGAAGTGTACCGAATGCCCTGCTGGACCTGTTCCTGTTCTCACTCAGCTCCTAGCAGCAGTAAGCTTGATAAATAAACATCTGGTTTATAATCAGTGCTTAGCTCTCTGATCTGTTTAATCAGCCGCTTGCACCTAATGTGAGGGTAAAAAGGGCAGAGTCCACCAAGCCCTTTCTTTGGCTCCATGGTGAGTAAGAACACCTTATGGTCTGACTGGCAGGCCCCCAGGAGTGTAAGCTTTGGCTGTGGCTATGCGGTGCCTGGTCCATATTTCTCTGCCTTTACTCTGCCTTCTCCTGCCCTTACTTCACCAAGAAAGCTCTCCTTCATCTTTTTGTGCATATTTTTCTGTATCCAAAGGGAGACTATAAAACAGAAGATGCAGACTTTTTAGTAGGCTCTGCTGTGGTAGGACTATGGTTTCAAACCATTCAAATGGTGAGAAATGGTTTCAAACTAAAACAGGGGATATTTAGACTGGATATAACGAAAAAGTTTTTTACAGTAAGGGTAGTGAAGCACTGGTGCAAGTTGCCCAGAGATGTGGTGGATCCCCCATCCCTGGAGACACTCAAGATCAGGCTGGACAGAGGTCTGAGAAACCTGGTCAAGCTGTAGGTGTCCCTAATCATTGCAGGGGAGTTGGACTAGTTGATCTTTAAAGGTCCCTTCCAACTCAAATTATTCCATGTTTCTATGATTAAATGACTTTTGAATAAACTGAGCTACTTCTGCTGCAGTCCTATATTTTCATTGCTGTAATTAGCACACACATCCCTTGTTTGCCACATGGATATATTACTTCCAAGGCTGTTTTCTGTGACTCCTTTGTCATTGCCAAGACCATTGATTACATGTTGAAATTCTATAAAATATTTTGAATCTCATAAACAAAGTAAGAATCTTTTTTCATGCTTAAATGTGAAGCACAGTTTGTTCTTTTGATCTAAAATAAGGAAGTGAGTAGGACTTAAGCAAAGAGAGTAAAGATGTCTAGATCTGTGATCCAAGGAAACACAGTCGTGATAACACCAGGCTGAGAGTCTTCATCAGCTCAGGATGGAGCTAAAGCATGTTTGGTAGAGAATTTGATTTAAAAACTTCAGGCTTGGAGATATTGTAGTGCTTAATTTCCCAAGAAAAGATGCCTATGGGAGATTAGAAATATGCCCAAGGGATGATAATTCTGAATGCACAATAACCTTCTGAGTTTCAGCAGTTGCTTAATTCTTACCATGTGCTGCTCTTGTTCTGTGCTGCGGGAGGATGGGGCTCCGAGGCCACATGCAGATCCTGTTTCCCCTTTCTCAGGGGATTCCCACTGCTTGGAGAAGCAGCTTATGTTCGTTGGGGGAAAAACTGAATTCCATCACTACTAGAAAAGCATGCAAGGAAGATTGTGAGAATTTTCCTATATAGAATTTTCCTTTCTCAATTTTGCCGTGGGGGACATACTCCAACATTTTAAATTTAATACAGCTGCAATTCAGACTTTTGTAGAAGAAGGTATAGGAATAAGAGAGGAGAATTTTGATATCTGCTGCTGAAAAGGGAGGAGAGGATAACAACCTTCTAGCAGTGAGAGTTTGTGGCATGAGAGAAGGAGTAAAGACAAATTTTGTATTCATTGCTGTACAAGGGAAAAAGGAGTTATATGGAAAACAGGATTTTAAAAAAGACTGGAAGGCAAGAAACAGTCCGGAGGAAAAAAATGAAAATGCTGCCTCCGGGAAAGGAGATGTGGGCAA